TCCATCCATCCATCCATCCATCCATCCATCCATCCATCCATCTAGCAAGAAATATGAACAACCAAGAAGCCTCAGTAAATTTCCATAAACATTGAACTAATAAATGTTTTCAAAGTCTTGCTTGTTGAAAGCCTGAGAACAGAAGGGAACGTTTCTAATTGTGTTTAGTAATGAGTCACGACTCAGTGAGAAATGAAGAGTCATCTGTTTTTGAAAACACATCTGAATCTCTCACCAACTGGGGAAAAGCATATCTGAGCCAAACAGATGGAAAACTACTAAAGGAGTGTGCCACAACATCGAGGAAAAGAGGCCATTCAGGTGGAGATCTGTCAGTTTATGCAGCTAAATATGGAGTTTGTTACAAGCAAATAACACTGTTTCTTTAAATCAGCATATTATCAAAATAGTTAGCCCTTCATCTGATGAAAAGATCCACTTGATACAGGTTTTTAACCTGAGTTTTCTCCTTTTAAATTATTCACCAAATATAGAAAGCCCAACTGAGAAGCCTCTTTCTTTTTATCTTCAAACCCTATTATAAAAAACAAATTTTAACTGTAACAAGGACACTGGTGTCCTTCCAGAATACATCTCTCACTTCTAAGCGTTGTGGTTGTTACTTTAAGTTTAAATCCCTTTTTTTCCCAGTGTATATCATGCGGCGCAAGGTTGCATTTCTGGACTTAATAAAAATTTTGTCTGACAGGATCCCCTGCATGATGTGGCTCCCTCAAGGTGGATGTCCTGCGTTAAAAACAGACTGCACGACACGTGTTAAAGCAGCATAACCAAAACCTAACCAATCTTGTACCAAACAAAAGAGTCTATTTGCCTCCTAAAACTCAGATGAAAAACTTCTAACCTCCCTGACGGACCAATCACTGCATAAATCACCCTCTATGTCTGCTATGGTTCCCACTGGACAAAATTTAAATGACGCCCTTAGATTACATTAGAAAAAATATGATGCTTTATATTTGATTCATGTCTTTTTCACAGCCAATGGTTTAAACATGTTACCTCAGTCTGTTATACATTCATACACAATTAAACATGCCTTTAATAAAGTTCTGTATGGTAACAGTGGGACTTTTAGATTAAGCTGCATTTTCTATTTTTAGGTATATGTAAAAACTATATGATGATCGGAGTATTTTAATACGCAAATAATAGCACAGGGCTTTTTTATCCACCAATGAAGGTTTAAAGAACAGCATTTTATTAAGTTTCTGTGTGACATTTTCGTGTGAGAGAGCTACTGGAGAAAGCTGAGAATCAGAAGTTTTTATTCCACACTTTGCCCACAAAATATGACAGAGAACCAGGTGGTTTAACCTCTTTACTGTCTTCAAAATACTTAATTATATAATTTTTAGTCTTAATTGACTAATAACAAATCGATAACTAGCTTTAGTGATGTACACGTGATTTTTCCCTACTAAGTTTGGAGTGAAAAAGCACATAGATAAAACTGCTTTAGTTCTGTATTTATATATAAATCTATTTATATATTTCTTAAAAACTGCTCCATTCTACTAGCCTGGGTGCCATTCCGAACTTAGTCCCGCCCACAACGTTTGAGGTCGGGAAGTTCGGTCTGGCATTGCTCAATAGTAGCGCGAGTATGCTCGCACAATATCTGGCGGGCCAATCAAATTTTCTGGGCGGGCTTTATACGATGATGGACAGATGATCAACAGTAACGTAATCAACCACGTCACCAAAGCGCGCTTGGGTGACAACAACAATGGCTGCCGCTGGAGAGTTGAGGTGTGTAGATTCTGCTATTAGGTCTGTTCTAGAAGATATCGACAGCAAATTAATTTTAAAAGAGGAACAGAGAAACGCGATCAAGGCTCATCTTCTTATTCTAGGCGTGCAACTGCACGCTTTGATTTTTGTTGACAACAACTATGCGTAGCTTAACATACGTCACGCACTCCGTTGCTCTTATTGGTTGTAGGTCTATCCAATTGAGTGCAGAGGCATTTTTTTTCCTGGTTCGTTCGAAACACGCCCCATAATCACAGCTCTATGGAGCAGCATCAGACTCATATTCTGACTAGAATTGAGTAGGACTACGTTAGGCTACCATTCTACATGATCTGTAACTAAAATTTTGAAGAGGATCTGTGATTGGCTCGAAGAGCCAAATGCAGGTTTGGAGGTTGCTGATCCGTAGAAATACTTACATCATGCACACTTTACATTTTGCACTTAATGTCCCATACTCTGTTCATTGAGTAACTGAATGTTTGGTGAGAAGATGCTAGAAAAAATGTCATTCGTACGATCGTTCATCAGCTAACATAAAATAAAGCAACAATTATATATACATATATTACATAAATAGGGAGAGAGATACATTTGTTTCCTGCAGGTTTTGTGAAAACAATGACTTCTTCTATCATTCGGTCTTAAGTGGTTATCATTAGTGGACTTACACAGAGCACATGTAGGGCCACAGCTCCCTCAGTTCTCGCTTTGTTTGTGAACAAGTCGGTTGGAAACTCGTGGAGAGCTGTAAGAGAGAGAAACCTGCCGTTAGAACAGATCAGCGTTCGCTAGCACAGAGGTAAGCCCTGGGAGGAGAAGAACCCACTGAACTCATGGCATGACAGAAAGCCCCGCCAGGATAAAAGCTCTGGGAGCGGTCATCTATGGAGCAAGCTCCCTAACAGGTTGGGTGGTGAGGAAGAAAGGAATGGTTGGAGAATACAGAATAATTGTGGTTATTTTGAGTGAGCATTATAGAAGAGGGAAAAACAAAAATACTGAGTGACATAAAGGAGGGTCTGTTGCAGGGCAGCCACAGTCCTAAGGACAATTTAAGACACCAATAACCCAACAGTAATTCTTAAAAACTCGATTATATTCCTTCTCTAAAAATTTATAATCAATAATTTTCAATCTAGTAAGATCTAACATTTGATTGCTGGCATTAAAAACACTGTAGTTATGTAACATGTTGATGCTTTTATTATATTAAGATTCATCAGCAAATCAATGGTGGTTATTAGCGGCTGTAAAGACATTGGAACGTTGCAGGTTTCTCACCAGGATTTGTTCTGAGTGGATTATGCAAAAATACCCTATTTGGATAAATCTTTAGGTATTTGTACGACAAATCAAATAAGAATTAGAAAAGACCCAGAGAGGACCTATATATGCACATGCAAACTGTATCCAAGGACCTCTTTGCAGCAAGGCAACAGCCTTTCTGTTACATATAAAAGGTAAGGCAGCACTTTGGGCATGAAAAAAAGTTTCTAACAGATTAATATTGCAGGAGAGAAAGTTGGAAGTACTTCTCCCTGCGAAAACCGTTTCACAAGGATCCAAACATTATCAAGGCATCTAGATCATGTATGTTCATGTATTCTGTTTCTTTTTTTCATACATATCCTCCACCTTCTCTGAGTGCCAATGAACATGTGGCTCTTTCTGAATCATTTAAGTTTATCTTTGGACATACCTTCTCATTCAAATAGTTTTGCCAATTTTTCGGACTGGCTGACCTTCATTTCTTAAAGTAATGATGGCCACTCGTTTTTCTTTAAAAATATGCAATGCAGAAATTAAACTTTGAGCTTTTTAATAAATGGTTTGAGAGTAACCTTGCTGTTCTATTAGATTTATTTAGTTCCCCCCCCCTCAATTTTCCTTCCATATTTTGTTTTTTAATTTTAAATGTGTTTTCTTGTTTTATTGTTGACTGTTATTTTTTCATATATCTCTTTTTCAGATCGAGTTCCATGAACTGCAATCTTTTAAAACGGTGCTTTAAAGCTTCCATTCTCTTCACTTAAAGCCTGATAGAAATGTTGCTGCTAACGTCTGCAGACCAATAAAAAAGCATCACCTGAGGATACCCCTCTCCAGAAGGGAGGAAATGTGATCTGTAAAATGTGTAGAATGCAATTTGTAAAATTCGCTCTGGAAAAAAATAAGTTGAAAAAATAAAATCTGAAAATTAATTACATTTTTATAAAAGAAAAAATATAATTTCAAAAACAAAGTAAAGGAAAAATAAATAAAAAAATCTGAGAAAACAGCTAAGTTTACTTTTAATAGTTTGTAAAACTCAATTTATAAAACATCAATTTAGAGATATACATTTAAACATTAAAATTTGTTAAACAAATGTGAAAAAATAGAATTTGAACAAATTAAATATTCAAATCAAATAAAAAAAAATTTAAATATTTTTCCATCAGTTTTTCCTGGAAAATGGAAAAACTGAACTTTGAAGAAGACCGTAAACCATATTTCAATTAGAATGTTTTTAAAATTTTATTTCTGAACAATTTTGTTACATTTCCTTTCATAAAACATATTCATGCTTGCAGCAAAAATACAACAAAATTCTCTCCATATAAGTGGACGTGAAGAAAATAAAGAAGCATTCTCCTTCATTTCACCTCCATTTTCATGTTTTTTTATTTCAACATAAACACAGAAAGAAATGCCAACAGCTTCCAAAATATATCGTCCCCGTCCTGCACCTTTATCTACTCTATTGACGTGTTTGTATCTCCACAATCTCTCTGCAGCATTCCTCTACTTTATTCTCTACTGCCATGACTAAACAACAGAGCAGCTTTTCAAAAAGCTGCACAGCAAACAGTTGTCTCAAGGTGACAGCTGCATGTGTTTAATATTTACTGCTAGGAGCCGGAGTGAGCTGGTTTAGTCTCCATCCGGCCCAGATACCAGGCTGGGAAACAAACAAACAGCAAAGATTTAGGCTCGACAAGAAGCAACGTTCAACTTGAAAATCTGGGAAATTAACCTAAAACATTAATAAAAACACAGAAAAAACAGCTGATTAAGAGTTTAATCCCAAGGAGTTCATTATGTCTCCAAAAAGTGTGAAACCCAGAGTCCCAGCAGAGATTAAACACTGTGAGGGACAAGAGCCTCGCAGGAAAACCAGCAAACCGTCACAAAAAGAAGGTTTCTTTATGCACTGACAGCTTCTACTTCCAGATACCTGCTGTCCTTACAGCTGAATCAGAGGCGCCGCCACTTTATATGCTCCTACATACACTCAATCAAACTGTAGCGCTTGGTCACAGCCTGGATTTTTCTAAAACTGAGCTGACATGAGAGATTAGTGAAGTTAGATGGACTTATTTAGTTTCTCATTCAATTCTAAGAAGAATTTAAAAGCAAAAATTATTTTAAAAAAAATAAAAGTTGGTGAAATCAGATTAGGGTGAAAAAATATCCACCCGCTGTTTTTGTTCTTTATTTCAGAGGCTCAGAATGTGGTGACGTATGCGCCATTAAACGGCCACCTCAAACATCCCGTTGCCTTAATTATGTGATAAAAGTTTGCAGATTATGTTATCTAACAGCAACCTGAAATCAGTGTTGCTTTTGAAAGCCATCTTAGATTTAGTCTTTAGGACGAAAACTATTATTAGTTTTAGTCGCATTGTAGTCATTACGATATGTGATAGTCGGTTTTAGTCGACTAAAACTTAAAATCCTTTAGTCTAGTTTTAGTCAGTTTTATGCTGCAAAAGAAAGTTAACCTTTACAATTTCGAATAACAGCCAGATCCTTTACCACACTCACAGCTCTAGCCTAGATGCTACAGTTGCTGGGTATAGAATGCTGCCGTGCAGTTCATCATTGCTGTTGACAGAAAACTTTCATTTTTATAATTCAAATCAACTTTTTTTAATGAATTAATGCCCTACTTTACAAAAAAGTGTCTCACAAAAGCTTTGAAAATAGTAGATCTAGTTCAAAACATCATATTGGTTAATATAGCAGANCTTTGAAAATAGTAGATCTAGTTCAAAACATCATATTGGTTAATATAGCAGAGAGACAAGCTAACAAAATGTACAATAAAGGAATGGTTTTAGACATACAAGGTTTCCATCCCAAAGCAAACATTTCCTGATCTAGTCTGAATAATGCATTACACACAGATCAATAAAATCTTTATTGCTCCAAAAAAGCAAAGAACTAAAACATTCTTCTTTCTACTTTGGCAATTTTGGCTTTATTTCTGAGAATTTGCACCTTAGTTATCACTGCTAAGGGGTCAAAGATTTAAATTCAAATGGGTCTGATATAAAAAAAAATACAACGAAAACCTACATAATTGCCTGACACTGCCATGGCAATCCAGACCTAAACTGAATGAATATTCTAACTAAAATGTTGAAATATTCAAAGGAAACATATAAAATGTTTTAATGACAATACAAGGAAACAATTACATTATATTTAAATAAATAGAACAGAGAACAATGGGAGAGAAATATTCAAAGATCAACGTGCCTTTTCATCTGGTTCTTTATCCGAAAATAAACATTATGCAATCAAATATTTTCTTTGGATATAATTTAGGGATTCCTTAAAGAATGTTTAGTATCACTTCTTGTGAGCTGGAAGAAATAAAATATTGATAGTAAGGGGTTTTTTTTACGCTTGGCAGAGGATGATCAACCACATATAGTTTATTAAGTAGCGATGGAAGAGCCATACTGCTGAGAGCAAACCATCGGAGTGGAGCGTCAAGTACAGACTGGGAGATCCACGCACAAAGACGCATTTCTGCATAAAAAGCTTGTCAGAATTGAACATGCAGTACCGGACCAATCCTGGTTACTTTCTCAGACCCTGCCGCTGCCATGATCCATCTGTGCTCCTGCAGCATGCGTAACTCTGTACGTCATTTGGGCGGCAGGATCAATGAAGATAAGCTGATGTACCTGATTACAGCACGATGATGCAGTTTAAACGTCTGACCAAATATTTTTTATTTAGTCTTGTGTCGTTGACTAAAACTCAAACCTATGACTAGTCATGTTTTGTTCATTGAAGATCCTCGTTTAGCTTGCCAGAGTTTGTTATCGTGATAAAAAAAATGAGGGTCAACGTAATTATTTCTTCATTGTCATCATTGACTAAAACAACACTGCATGAAATGCAAACAGCCTTTGCAGTCCTAAGACACATAATTAAACATAAAAATAAGAGGAACAGGATAAAAAAATATCTTTTTATTTATCAGCAAAGCTACTCTAAATGTTTTCAAGGATTAACATTTAAAATAGGATCAAAGTTACATGTTGGTAACAGATCCAGGACAANTTTTTATTTATCAGCAAAGCTACTCTAAATGTTTTCAAGGATTAACATTTAAAATAGGATCAAAGTTACATGTTGGTAACAGATCCAGGACAAAGCAGGTATCCTCGTCTCCTCAGGGAAGGTCTCCAAGAAGAAGAATCAGAGGCGTTCCATAACCCAGAAAAGACATGTTGTGTGAAGTTCCTGGTCTATCCTGCGATCTCAGAATAATGAGATGTTCACAGAAGCCCCCTGACATCACATGTCTACCCTGCTTCAGCTCCTTTCTCAGCAAGAGAAGCAGCAGCTGAACTCACTGAACTAAATAACTGCAGTTTCTACCACAATCTACCTGCTCCGTTCAACCCTGATTGGTGACAAAGATCCAGACAACATGGCAAACCAGCATCTTCAGTAGGAGGTGAA